AACAGAGAGAGTGAAGCCACATAAAATATACATTCTCCTTAACATTATTAATTTATCCACATGAAATATGCAATTCATGTAGTATTTATAATTAATTATTCCAATTTCAAATGATGTCCAAAATAAATAATGCAAGAATTAATTAAAAGTTAATATTTAGAAATTATATGTAATATGTAATATTTAAGTGTGATACTAGAGATGGTCTGCGATGGTAGAGTAATGAATTATTAACTTAGTGTAGTACGAAAACCCAACAAATATTTAGGTATTTAATGAGATGTAAGTTGTAAGTCATCTAGATATTTATGTGAAAAACCCTAGAAAGGGGAAAAAAAACACCTGGCTTTACCTAGTAGAAATAATCTACTATGAATGGTGAGTACATTGGTCTACTATTCACCTAAAATTGGGAAGATGAAGTGATAAAGATAATCGTTGTGAATGTACAACAATAGTTCATCAATAATAGTGTTAGCTTGGTTGTAATGAATGTACTTTTCGGTGATAGCAGTCTGTCATGAATATTGTAGACAGTGGTTGTAGCACCATTTGGTTGTGTAGGTTGTATAAAGAAGCTACAGAAGTTATCAGCCACATAGGTCATAGTTAATCACATGGGTCATAGTGGTGAATTATGATAACATCCATAGGTCGTTTGGGGATGGAGTGGAGAGTTGCATGACTGTGGATCATGTAAATCGTAGTTGGCTACATAGGTCGGAATGGTGAGCTCACTACAGAAAACAACAGATTGTTAGTTTGCATGGGGATCTTAAGTATTTCAAATATAAATCCGTGTACATTAAAAAGATGTATGCACAATTCTCATAGAGATCTAACGGTCAAGAAGAGATGAATGTGATGGAGGCAAATCCCCTACAAATACATTGTGAGCCCCACTAAGCTTGATGACTCAAGCCAGATGAGCCAAGCACTAAAATATTACAAGAAAATAACTAAGTTATCCAGATAAAAGCCATTCGTCCAGATACAAGTCAAGAGGGGGTCTCGACGTCAACTACAAGAAAGCAGACTTGATGAAATAATCTATCTCACAACAGAGCCAATCTGATGAAAAAGTCATTTCCACAAAGCATCTTCAACCATCCATGGATGCCAAAAGATTTCTTGCCTGAGATTGAAGATAACCAACCAGGTTAGGTTAGACATCCGAGTCGTACCAACGAAGCTCGGTTGACTGAGCTAACTTAATCGAGCAAAGCTAACTAAACTTCTTCGGTTGACCCAAAAGGGCGACCGGATGATGAGTCATTGCTTATAAAATACCAAAATAATCCTGGTATAAACCCTCTGCCAATGAGGGCGAAAAATATAATTTCATTGTCATACCAAATTCCCTATAAATAGAGGTAGCATTCAAGGAAGTGGGTTACAAAATTTTACTATTCACTGTATAGATTATAGCTCTACTCTCTCTCTCTCTCTCTCTACATTTCTACTATCATCTCACGTTCTATTCCTTGGGTAGGATTCACAGGCAAATTTGGATTCAACAAACTGACTTTTAGTATCTTTAACAACTTGTACGACTGACATTCTCTCTTGCCATGCTATAACAAGCTTAAATTATCATAACTATTCCTTACATCTCTTTATAGAAGAAATCATTAAAATAGACTAAGGGTCTGTTTGGGGCAGCTGCAGCTTATCCAGCTTCTGCTGATAAGCAGCTTATCCTGATAATCTGCTGATGACCAGCTGATCCGGATACTTTTTGTTTTTATTCTCATGATCTATTCTTGTCTCTCATGCATATATCTGATAAAACATTCAGAGATAGGTTAAATTTTGTTTCTGGTTTTCAACATTCTTGCATTGTTTCACTATTTAAGACAAATATTGAGTCTGTATCATTGGAAGGAAATTTTTTTTTTGTTTCAATTCAACTAGAAATTAGGATATTCTGACTAGAATTTGGAGTTTTAAAAACCATTAAATCAATGGTACATTTATAGACATACATCACATGAAACTATGCTATTAATTGTTTATTAACAACAAAACTTACATATTTGCATGCATGCATTACCACTCCATCAATTATGTCTGTCGTTCGGAAGTATGGACAACAATGTAGATTGCTCCAAGACATGCATTCGACAGACCTAATATTTTTGGCAATGTTGAGGACTGGCCAAATATTCTTGTTATATATATGAAATAGTATTTTCTTCTCGAGTAAAATGGCGAAAATAAATAAACTAATTGACAAAACTATTTTGAAGATTATGAATGGTAACAGTAAAATTATAAAAATGTCGATATAATAAATTAATTTTAGTAAAATATATGCATAAAGACATAAAAAAATCTATAAAACAAATAATTTTCTTAATTAAATGCAATTAATAATAGCACATAAAATATAATGCTAAGTAATCAAAATTAAAATTGACATCATGATATAAGTTCAACAAAAAGGAAGATTTACATACATGCCACCCAGAAAATAAAAGTTAGGTGTTAGAAATGTAACTACATAAGAATTGGTGGTTTGTTCGTATATACGTGCCCCTACAATTATATATTCATAAAAAACATTATTATAATATATTAAAATAAATCTTTTTTACTTAAGAAAAGAAATAATAATAACGAAAAAAATAATAATACTAATAAATTAAAGTTATACTTAACAAAAAGAAATATTTACAGGCTTGTCTCCCAAAAATAAAAGTTAGGCGTAAATATGAAGATTTAGATATTAGGTATGTAAATTAGCTTATTTCAATTGGTATGGATGTAAATATCTCTAAATTTACTATGAGAAGTGTAATTTTTATAAATATATCTAGGGACAATTACATGCCTAGTCATAAAACTAACATTCATATGATTTTCTTGTGACCCTGCAGTGAAAGTCTCTCAGTCAGGTTGTTTGTCTTGTGTACATGAGATAACGATAAGTATCACATAATTATATAAATCATTAAGTTTTTTAATTTTCGGATAATCTTACCAACCTCTGGTAGTGCTTTGTGTGGGGGATCAAACCTCTAATGTGGTGTGCTACTCCCTGGCTCCCTCTATACTTTTGTTCAATTGGTACGTCTATCTCTTCTTTTGATATCTGGAGAGGCCCTGACACTGGTCAAGTTAGCCCAGACATTCTCACCTACCCAGATGGGCCTCTCATCATTTTTCGCAGGTTGTTGTGAGCTTGTCGCCCAACCGATGCCGCCACGTCAAAACTGTGGTGGATCTACTTGTGAAGCTCCAACATCCGGTAAATGGGATTCTGTAAATTAAAAATGGTGTATTATTGATTAGTAGAAAAAAAATTTAGAATTAGTATTCTAATTCAAATTAAGTGATTTTATTTCAAACTCCCAAAACCACATGTCCCAAGTTCCAATTGGGATCTGTTTCTAGTAGAGATACATATGATCATACCTACTCCAGATGTTCTCTGTGATGTGTGTCACAAACGATCTGGAAGGAAAGAACCTAAAATATAAATTAGTTACAAAAATATGGAGATGAACTTCAAACTTATTCTAATTTTAAAGATAACTTACGAGTCTCCCTTCGACACAATATAGACCCTATCGGAGGAGTCATCCATCAGATATGTCATCCAACCCATTCATGAATATATTTGTTTCACATTTTGTCTCCAAGCTTAAAGTCACTCATCCATCTAAGTATTCTCTTCCCAACAACTCTTTCATGGATACATTCGTTTAATACTTTATCTTTAAGCTTAAGGACACACATCTACCTAAGCATAAAGTCGCCCATCCACATAATTTTTATGCATTAGATAGCTAACACCTTTATTTTAGTTTTCACATAATATTACCCAATTCCTATGGATTACATATCTAACATCTAAACTTTAAACTAAACCCTAAAACCACATAATTCATATGCATTACATAGCTAACCCTAAACTTTATTTTTACATAAACACCGCCCAATTTCTATGTATTACATATCTAACACCTAAAATTTACATTCCACATAGTGGCTCACAACTTTTGTAGCCTCTTTATACAACCTACATAACCAGCTGGTGCTACAACTACTTTCTAATATATTCGTGGCAGAGAATTATCACTCGTAACTACATTCATTACAACCAAACCACGACTACTATTGGTGAGCAGTTGTTCTACATTCACAATGATTATCTTTGTCACTTCATCTTTCCAAATTTAGGTGAAGAGTAGATGTATGTACTCATCATTCATAGCAAATTATTTCAACTGGGCTAAACTCGGTGGTTTTTTCCATTTTCCAGGGTTTTCCACATAAAATCTTGATGGCTTTTGCTTACTTCTCTTTAATTACCAAAATACGTGTTGGGTTTTCGTACAACGTTAAGTCAATAATTCATTACTCTACTGTCGCAAACCATCTCTAGTATCACACTTAAACTTAAATATTACATATAATATCTAAATATTAACTTTTAATTGACCCATGCATTATTTATTTTGGACATCATCTGAAATCAGAATATTTAATTATAAAAACCAAATGAATTACATATTTCGTTTGAATAATTTAATAATGTTAAGGAGAATGAATGTACAAGTTTCACATTATATATATATATATATATATATATATTGATATAT